GATCAATGGTTTTTGTGTTAATGTAAGGGCAGTTAAAACAGGCCGGTCAAATTTGACCGGGAGCACCAAAGTAAGGGGGGAGAAACGAACACGACACAAAGGTTAAGATATGTATATTTTTCCACAACAAAAGTGCTTGTGGTGATAAGAGGCGCAGAATTAAACAAAATGTACCTAAACTAAAAAAGTTAACACATCTACATAATACAAATGAGACTGAAAAGCCTAAACTAAACCTAAAGGATTTTTTGGTAGAATTCCCATTTAAAAGGTTTGCTGCCAAGACATTATCCTTTTATTTTAAACTGGGATATGAAGTTGTTGCACAGTCCTTAATTTCTGATCTGCCCCCTGATCAAGATCCACACTGAAATTGAAAGGGTTCTTTCCTGATCTATACTACATCCTTCCACCAAGTTTTGTGGTAATCTGTCATGCCATTTTTGTGTAATGCTGCTTACTAACAAACTGTAAAAATAATGTTATCTCAGACTATACCAGCCAAACAGCCAACCACCCATTGAAGTCCAGTTGCCAACTTTATTACAGTTTTACCTCAAATAGTGAGCAATTATGTACCTCAACTACAGATGATAACAGGTCTTTATTTGAGGTAGGCTTGTAATTAAATGCAAACTTTGAAATAAGATAAGCACACACACGCTGACACACACACACACACACACACACACCATCCCATCCACCCCTACTGTTCACCAACACCACCACCATCTCACACAAACACCCAGTCTCCCTGTAGAGTTGTTATATTGTATCCTGTATGATTTTGTGGAGGTCAGTCAGCACCAGTATCCTGCAGCATATAGCCGGGGGCATCTGAGAGTAGCAGGTTCACAAATCTCTCTCATTCTCCAATGACAGAGATTTGTGAGAACAGGCTGAATGTCCTCACAGTGAAGTCTCTATCATCCTCTTTTCAGGCACAACAATAGAAACAGAATGAATAGGAACGAAAGCAAACTGTGAAATATGCTCGACTCTCTTTACCCTCAAACTACTCAAAGTCAATTATGACATATCCCTCTGTGTTATTTGTGTATTTGCATTCCTCTGACTTTGTGTTCTTTTCAACAACAACAAAAAAACACCCTTGCCATCACAGGGTTAACATGCAGTGCTTGTAGCCACAGCACAGGATTATGGGTCAGTGGTCCTGGGCCCACTTCCCTATTTCTTTTCTCCACCATTGCCACATCAGAGCAGGTTTATACTGCGCCCTGCAGACCAGAGTTTTTAGTGCACTCTGTTACAGGACATAAACATTTGTTTGGTTATAATGATTTCTATGTTATATATTTATGTGTATGTATATATGTGTATTTTTTTTTTTAACCTAATTTCCATTTTGGGGATGAATGAAGTAATCTATTTATCTATATCATATATATTATATATATCACAGATCTGTCATCACAACACAATGCATTGTATAATTTCCTCTGCAGTTCTAACACTTGCATTGATGTCAGCGTGATCAGGGCGTAATACAGAAAGCTAATTTGAAAACTTCATAGACTCAAGGAGTTTGAAAGACAAGGGCAGACTAGGCAGAGAAGTTACCATAATACACATGACGCTGAGTTGCACAATGGGAAAAGTAGGATCCAATGTTTTTTAAGTCTAGTCAATAGCTGGGAGTGAAGATATCTAGGTAAATCCCATTTCACTGCAATGTGTGTATGTTTCAAAGTTTTACACTTTAAAATGTACCTTTTTTCTCCTCTTGAAAAGCTCAAAACACACAACATACAAAGCCTCACAAAGAAGCGTCAATTGCTCTTTTTGTGAACAGCTTTTCTTTTGCACACAAAACACACACACAGAGTTAAATCCCTAAAGAAACAAAGGACACAGCAAAGTGTCCTCACTTTTGTATCCTTCATAAAAACCCTTTTAATAGGGGGCAATTAAAGAGAGAAAAGGGTCTCTTGGAGAGGGTGGAGCAGTCTGTTGGTGAACACTTTATGAAGTGTCCAAATACACCTCACACATCTCTCTCTGTCTCTAGTATAAACAGGAATAATAAAATAAAAAGCTGTCTGATACAGCAGCCACATGAAAGCCAAATAATAAATGTAATAATGGTAACTTTATTTATTGAGCATTTCCAAAATCCATATTAATAAAATGCTTTACAATGGCAGCAATATGTAAACCAATCAACTGTTTTTATCTTGTCAGATACACACTATGACAACTGTTGATTTCCACAAAGCTCACATCATCTGTACTGTGCAGTATAAGCCTACGTAAGAGTTGAACCCTTTACAAGAATTTGATGTTTTCAATATGACATGTATAATTTGATGTGTTGTGTACTTTATATAATATGAAGTACTATTTGGTACATACATCATGTTAAATACAAAATGTATACTACTCTGTCATGGTAATATATTCCCTGGATCCTTGTTTTCGTTCTTTTCCTGTTTTAAATGTGGTTTGATGTGACATTTTCTGCTGGTTGTGTATGCAGTATGTATTTATTGATCTGTTGGAAATGTATCAAAAAAAAGAAATACATTCTGGTGTTCTTTACAAAAGTGACCTATTGCTGCACCCACACACACACACACACACTAGGTTAAAGCTCATTCAGATGATTGTGTTACATGTGATTGTACAATTGTTGGAGGCTAAGCAGAGGCCAAACCTGACATTGTGAAAAGAAACACCAGAACATGCAGTCACACTCTCCCTGAATGTATTTTGTTGTGCTTTCTCTGTGTGTTTTTGGCCTTTTGTTGAACACAAACACAGTTTTTTTCTCTCTAGGGCCTTTTGACACATCGCCGGTTCACTCAGTCGATACTGACAGATGGAAAGTTGAAAATCAAGCTGTGGTGTAATTAGCAGTACCAGAGAGTAGTTTTTAGATTGAGCGCAGTGCAGAATAATGTACCTTACATTGTGCATTATTAACTCTACATTGCTTTTTTTCATGACTTTTTATCTTTTTAAAGAAAATATTTTGGTATACAGCAGTGGTGGAGGAAGTAGTCTTTTAAGCTATGTAAAAAAATAAATAGATACAAAATTCACTCAAGAAGCCTAAAAATAAAAGTATACATTTCTTACTTGAGTTAAAATAAGTACTTGCTTATAAATACACAAAGTATATGTTCTTGCTGGGTGTATCATTTTCCCTAATGCATTGGTCTACTACATAATTAACTCTGTCTATTGTATATTCTGTTTAATGCAAGAATAAAACAGGTTTTGTCATAATATAGAATGCTGTAGATGATGCTATTGAAAACACTTGGATCAGTAGATTAATCCCATTCTAACTATTGCTTACTTAAAAAGTAAGACAGGTAAGAGAAGCTGCTGTGGGTTTTTTGCTCGTTTTGTGTCAAACTCTATTAAACTGACACCTTTAACAGATACCGTGATGTATTGTTATATCATTGCCATGTGATTATTGCAGAATCGCTGCATTGTAATGTTAATGTTATCTTGGGGCATGTGTTGCGAATAGTCATTACCCTGCTTCTTACTGATGTTCGTAGAGGAGTAAAAGTAAAAGTACACAAAACTAAATCTACTGAAGAAAAGTAAAGATACAAGAAAACATTTCTTCATTGCATTCCACCAGTGGTAAACAGTATATATTGCAAATCATCATAAGTAAGAGGAGAGTCCAGAGATAAAGATCTCAGAGATACATTATATTAGCAGGTTTTTATTAGGCAACATAACATTAAAACCAGTTGGTCCTAACAAATGTATCATTCACATTCTTAAAAGATTTTAGGTGTTAATTAAAAAATCTGTTGCACTCAAAGTGTTATGATCCTATTTTAATCCTGCTGTTGATATCAATACTCGGGACAAGATTAGTCACCATCATGTCTATAGATCTATTTTTATTCAGTGTGGTTGAATGTCACATGTGGTCCTTATATACAGTACATATATGTCTCTCTCTATAGAGAAGACATGCATGAGTCCTAATATCTTTATCTGCCTCAGCCATGTCATGTCCCTTCCCTCATTCACATACTAATGCATATACACTTACACTGCAGCACAAGGCAGGTTTATCTGTGTGGCACGTTTCAACAAGACAAACATAAAATATAAAAGGCATCATGACACATTGTGAAAGCAACAGAAGAAGCATTTAAAAAGATATAGACTGAAAAATAAAAGATGCATCTGGCTCAGATCATGTCAGTATATTTGAACATGGGGGGTCAGAGGTCATATATATCATAGCATGTCAAAATAGAAAACTGGATCATTTTAATGTCAGATGTTTTGTTTTCAGTTTAAGTGTGTTTTGAAACTTTAACTGTGATAAGAGCAAAATTTAAAAATGGGATATCCAAAGTGTGGGCTCGCTTTAAAACCAGAAGTGCACCGTGAAGCGGATATTTTAAGATGTTTAAAAATGGATGGAGATAAGACGGAGAAGCTGTTAAACGAGACGTGAATAAGAACATAAATCTAAAAAGTGAATAGAAGTGTGCAACCAACTGTAGCTGTGGCTGCTGCTGAGTGGTGGAGGCAATAAACGGAGCCGAGCACCAGAGCTACAACATCCGGGCAATACCCAGCCTGCGCAGAAACGGAATGGCGGAGGTAAGTGAGCGAAAACGAGGAATGCGATGAAGCGAATGATAGAGAAACTGCAGCGAATGTGAGACCCGCGTACACCCGAGACTGTTCCCCCCGGCTGCCCGCGGTGTCGCCGGCCGGTGAAAGAGAAGCTCCGGGGCCGGTAAAGCGGGAGGAAGAGACGTGAGAAGCTCCTCGGCTCTCTCGCTCCGTCTCTCCCCCCTCTCCGTCTCCGCGTTCTCGGCTTTAAAGAGCCACCCCCCCACCCGCCAGCCTCGGTAGTACCGCCGTAGAAAACAATGGGGGCAGCTCGGCGGGGTCTACAACACGGTGGTGCTGAAAGTGTTTCAGGTGCGCCGGCCGGAGAAGTGAGGGGAAAGTTGGGGGGGGGAGATGTCACGACGCGGCGGCGGCGGCTGAACTCCGGTCGTGTGTTTCTCTGAGTCTCAGCTAGTTTCCTTGTGGTGCCGCTCGTCCGGAGCGAGAGACGTTCAGCACCAAGTCACAGGAAAGCGCCGCCGGTCACCCACACCCGGTCTGAGCCCGCCGGGCTGGGAGAGGCTCCGCTCGGTCCACACGTTCACCGGACTCCGCTCAACTTCTCTGTCCGGAAACCGTGTCGCTCTGCCTGTTATCTAACAGCAGGAGCGTCGGCACTTTATCTCATGCAGGGCCGGAGAGTTGAGCTCATCATGTGGCCTCTAAAGTTTTTCACTTCTGTATAACGTGGCCTGCATCATAGACACATGCTCTGTGAGGTCTTAATCCCTTCATTTTAAAGCCTGGGGATGATAATAATCAGAATTTAAACTATTTCACAAGGGTCAATGTATCTTATTCAACTTCGTTGTACACAGTTCTATTTTAGTTCTTTACCTTCTTTACATTTTTTTATACAGATATAACTTTATCTTTTTCTCTTTATCACTTTCCCTCTTGTGTTCTACTTTATAATCAGGTTTACTTTGCTTGAAAGTTGTTTTAAACTTAGACTTTCAGATTTAAAATTGATTTATCTTAATTTTGGCTCTGTGTTGTTCCTGATGTACAGCACCTCAAAGCTGACCCCTGTGTATGAAATGTGCTATATGAATACAACTGCCTTGCCTGATGATGATAATAATAATAAAAAATAACCTTTATTCATATAGATCCTTTCTAAACACAGTTACAAGATGCTTTATAAGTTAAAAAATAATTAAACTGAAGATGAAAAATCAGAAACAGTCAAAAAGCAAACAATTTAAAACCAACCAACCTGCTCACGCAGCAATAGTGCACGGATACCAAAATAAAAAATGAGGAAAGAGTAAAACCACCACAGAATAAAGTAAAAGTAGGAGGAGGCACAAGAGAGATTTCAAAGAGGAGTGACCCTGACTGTATCCTAATGATCCACTCAGTGAAATTTCGTTACTAGAGGAAGTTCTCAGGCATAAAACAAATGTGGTTTAGAAGTTGATCTGCTGACGGATGAGCCAGGATCAGCCACATGTTGATCCCATGTTGTACGTGTGTGCACGTACTTCACACACGTACACAGGAATGTGCTGTTCTATTGTATTGCATTACCATGCTGTTTTACATGCCTAGAGGGATACTCATAAAAATAATACTGTGTGTGTGCGGTTGTGTGTGTAGTCCAGGTATAAGTATCGTGTATATTAGTATGTTGTAGGGACTTGAATCTTTGTACACAGTCACATTATGGGGACTTGTCTTCCATATGGGGACAAAAAGCAAGTCCCCATAATGTGAATGATTAGATTTTAAGGGAAGACGTGTTAATGTTTGAGGTTAGACAAGTAGTTACTGGTTAAGGTTAGAGTACGTTTCCAGGAAATCAATGCAAGTCAATGTAATGTCCTCTGAAGTCATAGAGACGTGTGTGTTTGTGTGTGTGTGTGTAGGTGGGGTCTAGTGGAGCGTGGATGAGGTACAATGATGAAGACCCTCAGCAGGAGAAGCAGAAGTCTTAACAGGCCTTAAGAGGAGTTGGAGGTGAACGCTCCTCGCCCCATGAAGATGGCAGCACAGTCCCACACTGTACGGTCAAGTTCAGCCACACCTGTATATGTCAAAGCTGCTATTTAAAAGCTCTATTTGTTTAAAATATCATTTATGTTGCAACCAATTCATGTCGTCATACTTAGGTATGGCGCGGTTACCGGTTTTCCGCTATACTGTGATAAAATCCCTGACGGTTAGTTATACTGTTTCAAGCTTGATTACATCGTTACCGTGGTGATTTGGTTGATACTCTCCTTTCAACTTAAGTTAAGTGCAGTTTGTGTTGTAAAAACGTGGCAGAAGCAGCAACAGGTACTGTCAGTGCTTCAGATTTGTTTCAGTTGTCTGAGCAGACAAAGTCAGAAGTGTGTTTTTCGAGTTGACGGGGGGGGCGGCGGCGGCAGCTGCTTTTTCTAATAAATTTTGAACATTTTCCGCGCATTTTAACAATCCCGCAGAAATACTGATAAATGCTACACCTCATCCATTCATCCCAGAACTACATCACAGCACATGAAGTCTGAGACAGTGAGCTCATATTTGTACCTGCTTGCAAGAGTTGTTCTCATCATGCTTTTTTCATTGTTTTCTGTAATTTAGCGTTGTTTAAGATTTTTTCTCTGGCTTTTTATGCCTTCATTATTAGGCAGGAAAGGATTAAGTGTGAAGGGGGAGAGAGCAGTGAAGACCTGCACCAAAGGGCCAATTTAGAACTGAACCTGCTGCCGCTGCAGGAGGTACTCAAGCGTTTGAATCCCATTTAGCATAATGTGTAAACAAAACCTTGTTTAACCTGCTGCACTTGTTAACCATTCTTTTTGACAGTAAATTTCCGCACATTTACTATATATTTACATTACTATTCCTGTTATCACTATATTACAAAATAGTTTTGTTGCTAATAAAACCTAATAAATTAGCTGTACATCACGGCTACCTGTGCCCATTTTACAAAAATTTAAAACAGAAATATGGCTCAGCTTAATATCACATTGAAGACAGTTGGAACTGTAATCCTCTTCCCAAATTGCATGGATAAGAACAAACTTCCTTTGGAAACTGAGCTCAAGAAATCATATGATACACAGCTGTTAATTTTCACATCTGGAGCCTTTTTCTAGAAGAGAGTTTACTAAGTTATCTGCATGACTTTGGCGAATAAAATTCCATCACACGTGGAACAGTGACTTTGCAAACTGACTGAGAGTTGTATTATTTGGGCAGAGGAGGGAAAAAATACCAAGAGCAGTTTATAAGTCATTTTACTGACTAATACGTAGAGGTCATTTTCATGTGGTTGTCTTCCTTCTTTCACTCCATCCCCTCTCTCCACCTGTCGCTGTCTTCCCCTGTGACTTTCTGTTTGTAGGCCAGTGAGCTTCCTCTGGAGGAGCTGCTGGCTCTGTATGGATATACAGTGTCAGATCCAGAGAAGGAGACCTGTCAAATGGCTGCCAGCCTGCCAGGCATGACACTGGACAAGGTGAGACATAAATCAAACACCACCAGCACATACAAGATGCCTTATTCTTATCAAAGTTTATATTTGGATTTATTTATTAAAAAACAATCAAGAAGATGTTATGAAGCATTATGTTTTATTCTACTTTGTTCTTTGCTGTGCTCTATCATTGACATGTATTGTTCTGTTTAGGATCAGCTAACACAGGATCTCTTTCCTGGGGAGGAGGAAGAAGAATCATCACCCGATGATCTCACCCCCTCAGTCACCTCAAACACCTCAGATCTGCTCCGGCATCTCCAAGGTGTCACACACACACAGATTAACACATGGCTATATAACCTTTAACATGATCGTATTTCTCCCAGATAAAGAAAAGTTTAAAAAGAGAGTTTGGTTCATAACTTTGATTCAGATGGAACCGTTTTCACAGCGAGGGCCTTTTTCTGATAGCTTCAATCAAATAACGGACTTCCCTTGAGCCTCTGGTATTGGTGGAATATTTTCTCACCACTAAATCGTTTCTCAGCTCTGAGTGCAGCCTGTAACTCATTACTTGATCCTATACTTCAATAACAGTACCTGCTGGGCTTTATTGTGTTACAATGTTTTTGAACCCTCTGATTTGTTCCTGTATAATTTCATATGACAGTCTCAGCATGGCATCATCTACTGCCTTATTAGTTTCCTGTCCATAAGACTGAATAAAGTCAAAGTCACTGAGACATTTCTTAAGTGAAGGATATTCAGTAAAATGGAACAACCCCTGGCTGTGATTGTGTTTGAAATGAAAGACAGTATTTGTCCACAGAACGTTCTGAAAAACTGAACATGTGGCAGGTTTGCTGCTTTTTTGTCCTTTATTTATTCAGGAGAGATTGACTAAGAACACAGTTTCTCCAAATGGTAAAGAGAAGAGAGCCTTGTTCCTCTTTGGCTCTTTTTTCATATATTCACTGCGTTGTCCTGAATTGTATTTTTACTGACTGAATGACATATATTCTATATATTATTTATTTAGTTAACACCCACCCTGTCTCTATAGCTTTGAATGCTACCAGCAGCTGTCACAGCTGGGTTTCACTATAGAAAGAGAATTGAACCTCAGCAGGATCTATGTTGTTAAGTGATGGTTAATGATAAACTGAAGAATAAAACAAATCTTTCAATTTCAGATTCTTTTGAAGTTATTGTGATTTGTTGGCATAAAGATATGACTTTTAGTCGGCATCACTTTTGAATTAATCTTGACATACAGTATTTGAATAGATCACCCTCCTCTCTGATGTTTTGCTTCTTTAAGGTGGAAACAAAGACACATTAGTCAGCTCATCAGATGAGGAATCTGACGATGCCTCTATTCCCTCCAATGAAGAGCACAAGGTACTGACGTCTGTAACACATATCTCACTGTGACTATGCAGACTCGATGAGTGATTTGAGGTCAAAGAGATATTAAGCGTACTGCACAGGAGAGAGAACCAGAAAAGAAAAGATCAAAGTACAACTTTTTTTTCCGGTCTGTCTTACCCTTTGATCCTTGTGACCGTTGGAGGTCATCACAGCTTCAAAAGTTGAACACATTCTTCCTTCTTTTACACCTGTAGAAAGCTCATACATCTTGGCAGTGAGGTGAACCAAACCTAAACTAACCTCTTGGACATAGTTCCCTGACCTAGACACAAATCCACATGTAAGCCACTAATTTACCAGACTTGATGTAATGTAATGATTCAAATCTGGTTTGTCCATTTACAATAGCCTGAGAAATGATCTGTCACCAGAACTACCACACAGCTAAATCTCATCTGTGACACATTTCAGAACTCTGTGTTTGATTTTTTTCTCAGGAGATCATGGTTGGCTCCATGTACCAGGCAAAAATCCCTCCACTCAATCCGTATACCTACCAGGAAAAGGGTAAGCAACATATATTATCATCCTCTCTGAACAATTTTGACAGTTGTTTCATGTAGGTTTAACACATGTGAACCTTATATGAAGTTGCCTAAAAGTTATTTCCAGCTGATTGAAGCCTTCATGTGTAGACCTTTCTGAATTCGGCTTCTCGTGTTGATATCTAAAAAGACACATTCATTATTTTCTCTCTTTAAATATCCTTACCCTTCCTCCTCTCTCATTCTCCACCGTCTCCTCATCCACTTTCTCTGCTCTTTCCACTGCCTCTCTCTTTCTCTCCAGTCTACAGCAGCGAGGACCAGTTGCTGTGGAGGCCAGGTGTTCTGCCAGTGCAGGAAGTGGAGGAGTTCTTGTTGAATATACAGAGACCACATCGCAAGGAGGGGACAGCACGCACATCCATGCAAGCTAACACTGTCCGTGACAACGAACAGGTGTGTTATGTAATGTCAAGTGTCATCAAAGTCCCACTGTGCATTTACACAACTCATAGCTTTTGAGCAGTGCACCATGTGCTTCAACAGAACCATTGAGAATGTTGTGGTTTCCGAACCACAACATTAATTATAATTCATACATTAATAATAAGATATTCACCAAAATAACAAACTAGTTTTAGGAAAATATTCTTTAACTCCATTCTTTTTCTTCTTTTGATGTCCAGGCACTGTATGAACTTATAAAATGCAATTTTAATGCAGAAGAGGCACTGAGACGATTACGCTTCAACGTGAAGGTGGTCAGTGGTAAGAACCTTTTTATGTTGTTTTAGTGTTTTACAGCTTTCTGTTTGTTGAAGGTGTGTGATTTGGGCCGTGGTTCCATAATGACCAGGGTGTTCTGTGGGTCTCAAAATAGTCAGTTTAGCTGTATTCAGACATGCACTAAACTCTTGACATTTGATGATTTGTACAGCAGAATCCATAAATTATATCCTGCCTCCTTCATGCACTACCCAGGCGACACCCCTCGCCTGAATGTTGCAGACATTTCCCTTTGTTGTGAAAACGTCTGACCCCGACAATCTCCTGCTGCAATCATTTTCCAGAATTCACATCTAAAACGTCCTTTGTTAGAGCAGCACCTGAGCCATTAAATGCTCAATTTTCTTGCTGCAAAGTATCTTACATTGTCTTGCAATGTGAGAGCCACAAATTAGTTAGCAAAATATTTATTCCTCTCTTTGGTAAACAATACCAAACCTACACACCTTACTGACTGTCAGCTACTACATCCATCTGCAAAATCTGTTGATGCTGATTATGTGGAGGATGCAAACTTGTTCCTAAGATAGCCCCTGGAATATAACCGTTTAAAATCCTTGACTTTGTTTAGCTCAGAGATGAGTAGGACTATAGGTTCTCATTAAGCAAGTGTTTCTCAAGGTGAGGTCAGTAACCACTCTGCATAACATACAGAGAAGCAAATGCACTCCCTCCAAAGTAATTTTCCAATGGAGGACACTGCAAAATGTCACTGTATCTGATACCGACTCAGTGCAACACCAGCTGCTGACCTCAGAGCTGCAATAGAGGAAAAGTTCACTGTTGTGGCCTCATGACCTCTAGAGCATGGTGACACATTCACACAAGTACCGAAACTTTGCCTTCCATTCACTCCCAATCTGTGCGGGCGATGGGATGAAAAAAAAAAACTGCCTCCTGTGGTAAATCAAATCTGCAGCGAGGCTTCGTGTGGAGTTCACCTTTGGTGAACTTTGACCCGCAACATTCACCTGCATTCGCATATGCGTGACAGTGTCTGTATTCAGATTAGATGTAGTTTGGATTTGAGAAGCAAAAAAGCTGCCCACCACTGCTTCAGACAGACCAGGCCGTAATCCTACATGGTTCCGCACCCTGAATGTGAGAGTTTTTTCTGCATTAGGCTCTAGCAAGCTTGGATATTGAGCTGCAAATTCATAGCTGTAACTCCACTTTATATCATCTGCAGCACGAAGCACAGATGGCATTAATTTAAAAAGCAATTTCAAATGGATGCTGTACTCCTAAATGTATTTTTATGTGTAGCACTATGGTTCTACTGGTACTCTTTACAGATGAGCTGTGTGCCTGGAGCGAGGAGGAGTGCAGGAACTTTGAGCAAGGCTATCGAGTTTACGGGAAAAACTTCCACCTCATTCAGGCTAACAAGGTGAGGTCACAATCAATTACCTGACACGCTCATTCTACGATGTAGCATACACAACCTTTTCTTTCTCCTCAGGTACGAACGCGCTCTGTGGGAGAATGCGTGGAGTATTACTACATGTGGAAGAAGTCCGAACGTCATGAGTATTTCACCCAACAAACCACTAGGCTCAGCCGCAAGAAGTACAGCCTGCAGTCAGGGAGCATGTGAGTGCTGCTGGGACACGAACAAAGTCACAGTCTATTCAGGGTTCATGTGTTTGATAAATATGTACAAAGATTACGCCTCAGCTGAAACATACATGATTTATAGACGAGCATGTGAATCCGCAATTTCTGAACCATGTGAAGCCATGCTCCATGTTTTTTTCATGCAGCACGTCTACTCGTGGAGTGAATGAGGTTAATTTCAATTAACTGATTAGGAGTAGCTTTGATTTACTATGTAATGTGTGTTCAGCACTTGCACATTGAAAATGCCAAACTACTGATATTCCTGCTACAAAGAAAATAGCAACTTTTAGACTGAGTCAAAGTCTATTAAGGACGGATAGGCTTATATTCTGTTGCAGGGTATATTTACTGCATGTGGCTGACTGAACCTCCCATTAAATCTCTAACAACCATATTCTGTTGCATTAGGGTATGTTGATCTATTCATTTATACATTTCTTTAACTATAACTTTTAATTTCACACTTCAAGGCTTCACTAACAATAACCCTCCGTCTATCTGGTTTACTTTCTGTGAGTAACTGTTTTTAGGGTCTGTCTTGAAGTAATGTCTCCTAAACAGAATTGGTTTCACCCAAATTACAAAATATGAAATAGTCTAGAAAGAAATGTCATGTTTGTTTATTTTTGATTTAGATTTTCTTATTCCTTGTGCACCAAGACAAGTGGACATTCACTTTCATCGTATTGGAATGGCTGCCAAATTCACAGCTATTGATTTCACTTAAGAATGCAAAATCCATTCATCCATCCATTATCTATACTGTTTATCCTTCGAGGGTTGAGCTGTAGCCTTTCCCAGCTGACACTGAGCGACAGGCAGACTCGACCTTGCACAGGTCTCATGCAAAAATAATATGAAGAACTTGGGTGCAGATGGTCGACTCAGAAGATGGGAAGGGAGGAAGGATACTAAGGCTGATAATAATAACCTCATTTAAGTATCTAATTTGCCTCACTTAAATGTTATTGCAATATTATTGTTTTTAAAAAAGTTCTCCCTCTCACTCCAGCTTTTAACTGATGACACACACGTTCCTGTGCTGACAGTGGTTGTGTTGTGTGTTGCAGGGAGGATGGAGACCAGGATGGGGATGTTGGGGAGCTGGAAGGAAGCAACAATTCCTCAGGCCTGTTGTCTCACAGCTCCATGGGTCCGGGGCAGGTTGAGTCCCCGTTACCTCCACAGACCAACCTGGACAAACAAGGTAACTTAGAGAACCAACATAGTGGGCAGTTTATAATGGCGCAAGGGTACAGCCAGTAAAATATTTTGTTGGCCTCATGTTCACAAAAAAATCACGTCCACCATAAAAGCTGAGAAAATTACCTCTTCAGTTTCATTTGAAGTTTGAGCACCATGAAACACCTGACTCTACAATTCGGCAAATGCAACATACATGTACATACAGGTACATACAGGTGATTCATATGGATGGGGTCTTTTTCTTCTTGCGTCTTCACTCATTTGTCAGGTTTCCTTTAATTTGTCACCTCTTTATATATAAAACAATCCCACACACAGGATGTGTAAGTAGGAGTTTGTGACTAACGTGAAAATCTGTTTTGCGTCTTCATCCATTTTTCTGTTTATAAATAATATTTTGTTTACATGAGAGAACAAATACATTTTCCAAATCACATAATGAAACCCATCATGCAGTTCTATAGATTTTATTTTATCATATATATTATATCATTATATAATTAATTATTTTGATGACATGGTTTGCCTTTTATTTTGACATCACATATTCATTATCTTATGTCCCCATGTTACGATTCATTTTGTCTCATCTATGTTTTTCCCATCTCCCCATTATTTTCTTCATTTTGTGTGTCTGGTCTTGGTGTGCGTGTGTGTGCGTGTGTAAATGCTGTGCATGTTGCCATGGTGCTCCAGAGGAGGAGGGCCGTCCCCGGCGCAGACGAACTCCCCGCTTTCTCTTAAAGCCTTGAACTCATCCACACAGGCCTCAGAAAGCAGGCTGGGCCTGCAGGTAAAGGAATCTTAAAGAGAGACAAGAAATAATCTTGTGACTGGGATCCTTTAGAGGCACTTTGAATCATGTACTGTGTTTTTGCAAATTCTTTTTTACTCATTACAGTTTGAGAAGCAGATTTGCTAAAAGTGCAACAGGTGGATAAAATGTGTATCATTTTTATCTCACTGTGACAAAAGGGAACGTGTTTACTCTCCGTACATGAATGCATTCACCAAATTTCAATGTAAACATGTACAGTACATGAAACCCACAGCATAAGAATATTATTGGAGCTTAAAGCAACACGCAGGGTTTTTTAACCTAAAAATAGCAGCTTAAAATTAGTTTGATGGTTCACTGATTTGAAATGTAGAGAATGTTTCCTCTTACATTCCCACTCCTCACCCTGAACGTATACTTTGCTTATGCAACTTTAGTGAGCTGGTATGATCTCCTGTGAGAAGTTTGTAACTGACTATTAGTCGCAGCTTAAACTGCCAGAATCAGTTCCAGCAAGTTCAAGAGAAATGCTGAACTGTAGATCAGTTAAAAAGACTCAGAGGTCTTTAAAAAGCAACAACATTCATCTCCAATATCTTCTGGTTCAGGAAGCCAGGGATCATGGGTAATATCCACCGTTCAGTTGTGTTACAGTTCAGTTCAGGTTTTCTTTTTTTTTCTTTCGTGAAAACCACTTAATCATTCACACTCAGAGCCCGACAAATTTAGTCAATGCTTTTGTCTACAGAGGGCGCTGTTGCTCAAGAAAAGTTACATAGTGTTGCTTTAAATGAAGTATTTGAACATCTTTTTTGCACTTGCAAAAATGTTTTACATTTAAACATTTTTCTAAACTCTTCTGCATGCGTGCAGATGGTGAGCTGGTGATGGGGCTGTCAGAGCTGTGTGGAGACGGATGTCCTCAGCAGCTGTTTGGCTGTCCCTTCTCTCTGCAGCCCCTGGACGACCTGCGGGATCCCGACTCAAATAGTTGTTGTCCCTCAGCTCCAGTCCAGCTCCAGTCCCAGCCTTCTGCCCTGAGCTCCCAGTCGGCCTGCGGTAGCCCCCCGTGCTGCCATGACGACGACTGCCTGCAGGGCTCCTGCTTTTACCAGCTACACATGCTTGGTGGACCTTTTGTTCCCGAGGACCCTGACTGTGCACCTAGTGGTGCGACCGGTGGCCCTGGGCTGCAGGTGGAGTTTAGCCTGCCATCTGCCTCCCCGCCCTCGTCTACTCTCCTCCCGTCACACTTCCAGGCGATTGGCGGCCTGCAGCACCCCTCAGCTCTCCAGCATCGCTCTCTGACACAGTGAGGGGAAATTGAATCGTAATGTTTGTGGTTTGCCTTTTGTCAAAATCCTTGATTGGTGTTGGTTTTTAAACTGACTCATACAAGCCCGGACAAAACGTGCATTTACCGAACTTCGTGAAAAGGATGGACCTGCTCCCTGAGCTGGGGGCGTTGCTCGTATCTGAATCCTCTTTTCAAACTGATACACTTGAACTCTGTCCATTGTGTTGATCACTACTGTCAGGTTTTGATTGTGTGTTTATTTAAAACAGTTTATCACCACAACCTGCGCCAGGGCAACGCTGTTGATTGGCAGTGACGAGAGCTGCACTGACCACACAAACAAACGTCATCTGTGGTTTTTCTAAAACAGAGCCGTGACTGACGATGTGAACAACCATTGCTTTCTTATTTATCACGATGGAGAAGTTTGACTTCTAAAGTCGACATCCAACGTTTCTTTCTTAGTGTTCTACTAATAGCTCGGCACTTTTGCCTCTGACTCCGTTCAAATCTGGTATTCACATCCGTCCTGAGTGAGCCAATCACAAGCGGACAGCTCGAAGTACATACAAACACATCCAAATTCATCTGATCACTCAGACCACATTCAGAAGTGGCCACATTCTTTTCACTGTGTGAGCACAAGCGTCCTGGGACGCACATGAAGGACTGTCTACTCAGCTGATGTCTCTGACCTGCTACAGTTTCACATTGAATTTTAATACTTAATATTTTTACATATTTACTGCCACAGTATCAACACCACCATAATGATTTCCATATATTGTTTTTAAGACCAGGTCTGAACAGGGCCTCCGTTCAGTGCCACAGGGAACACAACAGCTGGGAGTAATGTAAAATCTGTCAATTAAAACATTATATGATGGTTAATTTATTACATTAAAGACTCAGCCCTAATAGTTTCTGTCTTCGGTTTCTCCTGTTTCTCCAAACCTACAACCTCCTCCACTCCAGCTGTCTGTAAACCTTGAGTCGATCTTTCTGTAGAAATTTGTTTGATTTTAAAAACCTGAACAAGATCTTCTATGCTTTCTTTCAAGCTTTATAGGAGCAACAAGGAGCACAGTGATTTTTCGGGGGGGGGGGTTTTCTCACTCTTCAATTTGGCTTTTGTCAAAACCTTTCATCCTTGTTCTTCCCTGATGATTTAGAAATGTGCAATGCTTACTTGTCATTTCTGACAACTGTTTCTATCATGTCGAATATTTAGTCCAGTGAAGAGCCTGACCTCTGACCTGGAGAGGTGGTTCAGAATAAAATATGTTGATGTAAAATGTACATACTAAGCTACGCAAATCACTGAATCCAAATTCACCTACTCAGGTTCTGCAACTTTGAAGATTTCCATTATCAGTCATCCAGAACTAACTTTGATGGTCGTACGTACAGTTAGAGAAGTGATTATGTTGAAAGTAAAGTAAAAAAGACAGACTGGTTGGGCTCCAAAAGAACGTCCTAAAGTAGCATTTAAGTTTTCTGCCTCTTTGAAAACCAACAACAAGGAAGCAACTTTCAAGTAAAGTCCAGTCCATTAAGATATGGAACAAAGCAAAAGAACAACTGCAACATTTTTATTGTCAGAGCTCTCTCTCCCTTTTCCCCTCTGAAATGTTTCCATGAGCATCTTTAATGACCTTGACCTGAAATGATGAAATATACTGATAAGTGTCACATGTGTATGTGCATTTAAAACATCTAATAAGTGTTATTTTTGCAATACAAATCTCTTAAGTGCTGCATAAAATCTGTTCACGTGGCCCTGTCGGAGTTGTCGAGCTGTCATATGAATTTTGAGAGGGACAAACATTTAGACTCACTGCACTTTTTGTGTTACGAAATTATTTATTATAGTATTAGTTATAGTCAGTTCACCATTTTATAAAGTGAATTAAAATTGAGACAATCTGGTTCATGCAGAATATTTAGCCGTGATGTGATGGTACAGATGTGAGAAATTCAAATTGTAAAGATTATTAGAGTAAATATTTCGTGATTATTTTATGTTACACTGAATAAAAATAATTCTAAAAATATGTTTACATATTTCACAAAATCCTGTATTGATTTGTACGTTCATTTGTACATATGTGGTTTTCTGCATGTCAGTATATTTCAGTCTCTGAAGAGGTAAAAGGAAAGTTACAGGGGAATGAAAGGATTTTTCAGGGTTATTCTTCCTTTTTCATCTGTTCATCTATTTATTCTTTGTCTGTAACTCTGTGAGCTCTTTCTGTGATCCCTGTGTTACGCCAGGCTGGTTTCAGATCAACGTGTGTCGTGTCTTTGACTGTTTACTTGAGAGGAGTTCAGTACAAGACCACAGAGGCAGCGAGGAAGAGTAGAATTACTGCCTTTAGTTCTTTCTTTGTTTTTGCTTTTATTTCTTAGCTTCTGCTTTGTCTGTTATGTTTTATAATGATTATATTTTGTAAAAGAAAAAACTATTAAAATGAACAATGGTGAAATATTAGGATGTATTGCTTTTGTATCTGATGCTGCACCTTCTCTTGTGATAGAGAAAAAATGAATATATGCAGATGGAAAACATCTTTTCAAGTCCTGCAGCTACTTTTCTCTCAACAATAGCAAACTAGAAAAATGTAACTCAGAAACACGGAGTTAATATTGTATTCATGTTCAAAAACAAATCCTATATATTAGATATATTTATTTACCTTTGTAGGTTATTTGACAGAGAACTTATCGTTGATGACAGGTGATGGGGGGGGTTAAGCACATTATTTCACAGCACCCTCTAGTGGATTATGGGAAACTCTATTCCAAACTTAAAACAAATAAGATACAGACTTTACAAAAGGACTCAAAAGTTAATTTAACTTGTTAACGTTGAGTAATTCTCAAAAATTGTAATTTTTGTTTTCAATCTTCTATCTTCTACATACTTTACCGTCAAATAAAAATATTCAAATCAAACATTTCTTTAGTACGGGTTCTCTGATCCTGATAAAACTACAGGGAATATGGTGAAAGAAACGTTTGGATTTGTTTAGTTCAGTCTGGATAGTACAGCTTCAGTTGCATTAATGTTTTTAATACAGAAGTTATATGAAAAGAACAAGAAGTGCATGCAGAGTGTGGTAGAGCAGGAAGAGCCATGTGACGTAACTGCAACTGTCCTGTTTCTCCTCTGACCTCCTGTTCTCCAGGTTTCACAGGCTGATTAGGAGCTTTGTGTCGCCAGCTATCTATCAGGGGGAATAAATACAACATGGCCATGTAGGATGCATCTGAGAGAACACCTATATAGTGTTAATGTTTTAATTATTCTGCAGTCAGTAAACAAAAGAAGATACAAGATACATTTCCAACATAATAACTAAACCACACTGTTTTAGTGTGAAAGAAAAATAGCAAAAAGCTGCTTTGTTCACCTGATTAATCAGCCCTGACTGTAAATAATACATACAGTAGATGAGGCCAAATAAGTAGAGTTGTCTCTCCTGAGTATGTGTTGCTGATTCAGACAAATGTAACGGTGCATGCAGAGGAAAAATATCTCATTGGTGCCAGCAAAGGCGAAAACGTGCACTCAGTCAAAAATTTGTTCCAAAAGTCAATTGACAAATGTAGAAACTTTTTTGTCACAATGAAATGAAAAGCCTGCAGACCAAATTTTAAAATGTGCAGTGCAGTCTGGACAGTACCTGTTACATTTGACAGGATAAAAATGAGAGTAGGGTATTCATAATACATTCTTATGTGTAATGGGTCATGCTGCATAAATAGCGCATTTAAAAGCTCACATTTTTCGGGGGAATAAAATAGCCAAGATAAAAGATATTGATAATTCCTTTAGATCCTCCAGTGAAGTCCAACCTTCCAGACCCTCAAAACCCCAACACGGCTCATCCTAAAAGACTAATAATGACATTCTGTTATCTCTACCTCACTGGTGCTGAATCAAAAAATGTGTCTTCATCTTTTTTTCAATTCATTCTTTTCAACTCTTCATCCACCAGAGACCTCCACCTGTCTGTGAGCACATCTGCCAACCAGAAGGGGGCAGAGAAAACTTGGTCTTTAAATCCATTGTACTGATACACTGAAGTCTCCCTGCTGCTCCTGTTTATATCCAGATAATCGTCTGCATGCCTCTAATGTGGCAACTGTGCAGAAGGTCAAATAAAGCTACGATGCAGAGTGCGTGCATGTTAGATCACCGGCTTGACTCAAGAGCGCTGAACTAATAGACCTCTGGGTAAAATCTGGTGTTAATCAGAAAGAAACAGTTCATTTTAATATACATTAATGACACTAAAGTTCTCAGTGCAGCCTGTAAGTGGTGGGGAAACATCCTGACTCCCTGAAGCAGAATAACTCTGACTGGGTGTCACGCTGGCGTCGAGTCATGATAATTCTGCCAAGGCCCCATACAGGTTTAAGAGAGTTTGATGGGCTGTAAGTGTTGTCCTCTGTATTCTCTATATATCTGTTCAGTGTGGGACCATCACCTCCCAGTGACATGAAGGTGTTGACAAATATGTTCAGACCTTACAATGTGTTTGCTTTTGGTTCCAATGCAAATCTCACCAAGAGCAGGAAAAAGGTGAAGTTCTCAACAGCACTGAACAACACTAAGTGTTTGTTCTATGTTTCTTTAATGAGAAGTGCATTATGGGATAAGATCATGTAAGTTTCCCATCGCTCAGAACTCACTCTTCCATTAAAGCCAGAGCCTTGAGGTGGATGTAAAAGAATCCAGATAACTTGAGATAATTAGGTACATTTTTTATTCCTTCCTATTTTTGCTCTGACAGTAAAATTTGTGCCTGCTTTAATGCTCCCAGACTCCTCCCTCTGGGTCGGATCTTTAGTGTTTGAGTCACTTAAACAACAGAAAGAAAAAAGTGAGGGTTTGCGAGGCAGGAAGAGAAAAATCCAACCAACCGCTGAGAGGTTTTTCACCCCTGCTCCTTTGCACGCCTGTGCGTAAAAGCTGATGGGATACAGCCAGAGAGGAGCCAGAGAGGAGGAAGTTGGAAGGAGGGACCAGAGCAACAGTGGCGTGGTGCTGCGTGAGTGCAGGGAGAGGAGAAGAGCTCACAGCGTCCAGCCCTCTTATATCCGAAGATCTCTTCACTTTACTGCAGTTCTGGCGCTTTGTTTCCCCCAAAACGCAGGAATGCGCGTAAAGGGACGCACGCCTCCTGCGTTGCTGCTGCGTACCAGCGAGTCTAGTTTTTAAACACGCAGTGGTTTCAACAGGGTGAAAACACCTTTGCTGTCAATGTCAGCACAGGTAGTAAAGAGGATCCCGGAAGAACACGTCGTGCAGGTTATTAGTTTGTTTGCATAGCCTGCGCTTTTTTCCCCAAAGCGATCGAGCGCAGATGGACTTGTTTCCTTATTACAAAAGTAGCTGTTACCTTTTCTAGTTTTTAATTTTTGTAACTGAAAGTAAATAAGCAAAGCGAAGATGAAGGACCCGAGGAAGAAGAAGCTGTACGTGGTGGTGGACGTGCTGTGCGTTTTAGTTGGTAAGTTAAAAACTACACGGACGCATGGCTAACCTTTTATTTAGGAAATGCACTTTGCTGTTGACAGAAAGAACCGACGATCAACAGCAGTGTCTTTACAGCAGCTCGTGTGTCTGCGTTTTGCGTCACATTATCAACTTGGGGATTCATTGAATAGCCTGATCCCTGCAGTGTTTGTTTGTTTGTTTGCTTGTTTGTTTGTTTGTGGGTAAAATAACACGGAAGCATATTTGTCATTTAAGATCAAACCTCCTCTGGATGTTTAAAAGGCAAAAGACGCAGCTGAGTTTCCATGCACAAGACTAACACTCATCTGTCATGTCATCATGTTGTTTGTGCTGATCCCTCTCTGGAATCATTTGAAATGTGACAAATGAAAATGCGCGAAACACAAGAGGAAATCATCTCTCTACACACTTCAGCACCCAAAAAAAAAAAAAAAAAAAGTTTAGCAGGACGTTACAGAGCCTCAGGAAACTGTGTGTTTGTTTATGGAAATTTGATATGCATGTGTGAGCTTATTTCTCCTTTTCCTCAGTATTTTGTCTGCCAGCAGTCCTCTGAAGAATATACAGACCTCGCCCATGCTCTGCGTTTTTCAATATATTGCTTCCATTTGTGCTCCCATTGTTTTGCATACAAGGAAATTTTTCTTTTCAAGGAACAATAATCTGTTTTTTTCTTTTCCATTGCTGTGGTAACTAGAGTGCATCATTAGTATAATAGTTTCTGTCTCCTTCCTCCTCTGGGCAATAACCAAATAATGAGATGTGAGAAATTGAATCATATCAGTGACGCATATTGTGGTTATAGTTGTCCACATTTGTCCTCCCTTAGTTTTTTTTCACCATCAGTCTGTAATGAAGGAAACTAAATAGGGAATTATATGAAGGACCACCGTATGAAGCATTTAAGTAATTTATTTCTAATTGAACTATTATACAGGGATTGATTTAAAAAAAAAAATTGCACAGCAGTCCATAAATAATTTGGTAATAAAATGAAGAATGCAAATTAGATTTTTAAATGGAAAAAGCAGATAATTGATATTTAACAAACACTAATGAATATATTAATCAGTTAATGGATCAAATTAACAGGCAAGAGGTTAATAAACATAAAACTAGAATGATGAACAAACCTTAGGCCCCTTAAATACAATCAAGCTGCCCCCAATCTTAAAGTCATAGACCCTTAAATATGTCACAAATGTTCTCATCAAAATCCATGAATTAGTCTCTTGGACACTGGTGACAATGTCTTTATCTCTCAATGGTAAAGAAAGTGAAAAAAGAAAATCCTGGATCTGCTCCCTGATCCGGATTTGCACTGGATTCTTCCCTGATCTTTACCACATCCTTCCACCATGTTTTATGGAAGTCTATTAGTAGTTGTTGTGTAATGCTGCTAATTAACAGACAAACAAACGGATGAAAAAAGAACTTCCTTGGCAGAGATCTCAATCATTGAAATGTCATTTAAAATAGATTCAAATACCAAAACAGATTAAGAAACACCAACTATTTATGCAACACCTGCAGTCGTCTATAAAGATGATGATAAGCTTCTGATTTATATCACCACCACCTTGTGAGGAAGCTGTTTTCAGATGCACCCATATAATAATAATTATATGTTTATGTGGTGGGACACTGGTCTGCTACTGTACTGTGACAGACATGTGGTGCACAACAGTGAGTCGTTCAGCAGCACGTTCATGCCTTATTGTGTTTGTGATGTAGCGGTGAAGCAGTGGAGGACGGATGCGGACGAGGATGACGGCTCGTGCGTGTGCAGATCTGCTCGGCTGTGCGGTTTTCGCGGAGGTTGCAGAGCTTTTCACGGGAGCTTAGGGGGTGTTTTTCTCCAACTGTGGGAAGATCTGCAGACTGCTGAAGTTGATAAGCCTCCCCATTTTGCTGTCACAAGTCTGGGATTAACGTCTGGGCTGGGTTTGGTTTAATGGTCAGGTCTGGATGACTGCATCCCACCCGCTGCCTCTCCCTTCCCTCTTTGCCACCCACGTCTCCCACCCAAATAATCATCAAGCCAACCCCAAGCTTATGTGAGGTTGCCCCAGCCATGTAGCAACAACATGGTGGAGCTTGTAATTATGCTGACCATTGGCCCATATGGAAACAAACTTCTGACTTAGGTTTCGTCTGGATAGTGGAACTATTTACATTTCTATTAATCCAAAAAATCCAAATCGCATGTGAATCTTCTAACATTGAATCTGCTTTAATTGGCATCTATAGTTTTTCTACTCACTAGCTTGAATTTATCCAACCTCTGACTCTAAATATTCTTGTCTTGCTAGTGTGGCCATACACTGTATATTAAGATGAACGACATGACAGCTCCCCAAATGTGAAGCCAGAGTGTCTCAATCGCCACCTGGTGGCTGGCTGCAGAATAGGTTATAGGGCGACATTGGTTCTCAGCCATCGGCGTGGCCATCACATCTCTCATTAACTGTGATTTATTAAGAAATCTTAAAGCTCAAATAAAAATGATTTCTTGACTTGCTTTCTGTCACTCACACCCTGCCCAGCCCAGGTAAAACTAACAACTATTAGTGTCATATTAATGGGTGTGAGCCTCCCTCTGTTTCTTAAAACAAAGTTCGACAGTCACTGAATCCCTTAAATTAGAAAACTTGTGCAAAGACCCAATCAATCGTTTGCTATTTTTTTCTTTTTAGACACAAAGTCTATTGGTCTTGTTTCAAGATATTTGAGCTGTTTGGTCTGTTTTAATATCTTTCTCTGTCTTTGTTTGTTTTGGTGTGTAAGCCCTCGTCCACGTCCACTTCTACCTCCCTCTCTTCCATGTAAATACACTCCGCACAAATAGATGGTGGGTGTTGGCTCAGAGAACAGAGGAAAAACTGGGATGAACTCTTCCATGCCCACAGAATGTGTTCGTTGGTGCAGCGCTGCAAGTATGTGTTGCTTAAGAGTCGGAGGAGGGGCGACGGCTCATTACTCGGCTGCTGCTAGAGGTGATTTGAATGGTATCTTTGAGTTATGAGTAATGTGCCAGATACTCTAAAGTGGTGTGAGCCTAAATGGCCGCAGGGCAAGGCATCGGTGTAACAAACGCTCACGCACTTACTTTTGTTTCCCTTGTACTTTGTTGTGTTGTTAATTACACTGTGACAAACCAGTTCTAGTGATTACACACACACACACACACACACACACACACACACACACACACACACACACACACACACACAAACAAACAAATGTCTAAACAGAAGGAGAGGTTCCCACGATGACATTTTATCTGTTAGAAATAAACGTGCTTGAAAGATATTGTCACAATATTTATCCATTAGCTTTAACTCTTATATTTCTTCTAAGAATGTTCCTGTTTTTGTTTTGTTGTTAGTTTCGGATACTACATCCAAGGAACTAACAACAAAACAAAAACAGGAACATTTCTTTTTCGAGTAAACCTTGAACGTTTTTTGTAATTGACTTATTTATTACCCGATATAATAGAACCTGCTCCCAAAGCCCCCACAGTAACAGGCAGTTATTACGTATTTCCTCACATTCTTTTCATCCTATCAGACTGCAATTACTTTGTTAGCATCCTCATGTTCTGTTCGTTGACCTCGCTGGATGCCGGTTTAGAGTTTGCCAGCAGCAGGGTCCTCAGGGAGTGGGGCCCCTCGTGTGGCTGCATTGGGAAGAATGATTGTGCTGAGTTCTCAGAGATAGCCATTGGAAGGCACTTGATGGGAATTGTTTTTCTCAGGAGAATTGGGTCATGGAAACTGAAGCTCTTTTAACAAACAGACACGTCCCTCTGAGAATTATCGGTCTATTTTTTATTGTTCTTCTAATCAAGTGAACCAGGATTTCTGGTGAGCAGAAAGTCTTTTTGAAAGGCACAAGGACCTTTTCACATGGTAGTTTAATTATGTCATTACGTTTCAGACATTAAAGGGGCTTTTTTGCTATTTCTACACAGCTAACATTAGCAAGTTTGTCAAAAGCAACTTTAGTTTCTCTTTTGCTTCTATTTCTATAACTTACTGTTTCTACTGAAGTAAGCATGCTAACAAGCTAGACATGGCCAAGCCGGCTTGTCTCGCGCTTTCTGTTTCATAGACTATATAGTAAGAGAGATGATAGATGACAGCTCACCGAAAGTGAAGCCAAAGTATCTTGTTCACCCCCCAGTGTTTGACTGCAGTAGCTCATAAGGTCATCAGTCCTGCCTCCTTCATGTTAGTGGATGGACTAAGAAGTTAAAGTACACGTTAAATAAATCATTTAAGGTAGTTCTTACATCAGTGGTGTATGTCCAAGTGCTAATTTTCTGACAAGTTTGGTTGTAATTAGTTATTTTATGCTAGCAAATTAGGGTGAAACATCATAATTGACAGCTGAGACTGACTCACAACTGGTTAAGCGTGTGTATCAGCGGGATCTCTATCCCCCACTTGCTGCCACGCCGATTGCCAAATGGGCAAGATGGCAGCATTTGTATTCTTGATATTTTGGCTTAATTTCTGTGTAGTGGGAAGAAGTGGTGACGCGTTGTCCATCTTCAAAATATTGTGTTTTCCAGTCGGTCCAGAAGAGGTAACACTGGACAAAATGCGTTTTGTAAGCACTTACCTTGTACAACAACTGCTGAAGCTCTTGAAAACAAGCATCTCCAGAATGAGCTCCCAGCAAGAAACGTCTGGCAGCATTCCACAAACATCAGCCCAGTACACATGTAAGTGTAAAACCAGTAAATGTGTATCTGCTATATGAGTATTGTGAATGTTTTAAACACAATATTGATGATCAACTTTAGCATCTTCCTGTGTCTTTTGATAGCAGATGGTTTCAATGCTGAAGAACCTTACAACATATGGTATTTTCTTCTATCCAGCAAAGTTAAAAATTAAACATTTGCTTAAAGAGAGGGAAGCCTGAGTGAGTGAGGCCAGTTCCATTTTTGACAGAGATCAAAGTTTTTGAAAAGTGACAAAC